TAACTGTATAAAACTTTTAAAAACTAGAAAGAAAATGGCTGTATCTTTAACAAGTGTGCAGATGATGAGATAAGAATTGGTGTGGTGGTAGCTGAAAGTTTTCCCAAGCATATGCTTTGAGCTTAACACGTTGCACATCTTTGCTTAAAACTTTGACATTAACTGTGGAGAGTCAACCCTGTTTGTCCTGGAAGATCCACAGCCATACTATGCAATGTTATTTTCCAAATTTGACCAAAATGACCATACATATGCCATTTTTTAATTGAGGATATTAGGGATACACAATATTATCGGCATGGTATCGGTATCGGACGATATTAGCATTAAAGTTCAATATCGGACATCGGCTGTTCCAGTGATGATGTTGCAGTGGCAGCTCAACACGATGACGTCACGTGCGCCTACCTGATCTCACGGTGGAGAGAAAAATTCAAAATGTCAACGGTGTGGAAGTTTTATTTTTCGTTGGTGAGGATGTCGGATTCTGAAGATTTATGGACTACGTTGAGCCTCATTACATTGTCCCCAGTCTGAGATATTTTTCCGACGTAACATTACCCGAGATACAACCCGTCATTTCCGACGTCATTGAGAAGCTAATAGCCGATAGCACAACTTGTTGGGTGAGTTTTACCACAGACATTTGGACATCATGTTAGCTCCGTTAGTATGATTAGTCCTACGGGACAATGGATAGACAAAAACTTTGAACTTAAAACGTCTGTCCTTCATGCACAGAAGTGCAGAGGATCCCACACTGCAGCTAGGAACCTGGAACAAGCCTCCACAAGTGAGACAGCATGGCAGGTGACTAATGCTAATAAATAACATTTAACACTTTTCATTTAATATAAGTCAAAGTGCTATGCATCACATTGCTGTTACTGAATATATGTCACCAGCTCTTACAACTGTTGCACATTTTTTGTAGCAAATAAGCCTAAATAAGAGCAATATATTCTGAAAAAGGAACATATATAAAATATTGGTATCAGTAATGGTTATCAGCCAAATAAGTTTTAACATATGGGCATATTGGATATCGGCCAAAAATCCAATATTGCGCATCCCTAGAGGAAATACATGCAACAATACTTAATAAATCTGCATTAGATGAGTGTGACAAAAGTACATTTAAAAAGTATTTGTATATTTGAAATATTAACAGGTGGATTGAGGATGAAATCATCTTTATAGGGTTTGAAATGTATTCGGGAAAGGTGTTTCTGCTCTGATACGTGTCCAGCTTCTTGTATTTTGCCACCACAGGCAGACTTCTGAATTAAATTTTATGAGGACCTGTAATCTGCGATTTCGGAAGCAAAAACAATTACCATCTCTTCAAACAAGGTAGGGCTGCGGCTGGAGTGAAAAGGACTATTCTGAGGGTAAACAAGGAAAGAAAATAAAAGGCAAACAGAAGCAGTTGGTCCTCAGTCTGCTGCTGGGAGAGGAAGACGAGCAGAGGCATGTCGACAAACATGCTCTCTTGATTTAAGAAGTGGGCTCCACAGCAAGAACATAACTAAATTTAATGCTCGGTCTGTTTGCTTTAGATCCGGTTTTGTTTAGCAGGAGCAGAACAACAAAGAGAAACAGAATCCTGCCTGATGCAGAACAACTCCAAGAATGAGATCGTGCAGCGAAGGCTGACGTTATTTTATTCATTTGCTCTCATGCTGTACAAAAGTATGATAAAAACATAAAAAGTAATATTTGGCCCCGAAAAAACATGTTATTCATACGGTTACAAATTGTTTTCTTTGTGAACGAGTTAATAGTTTTTCATACTTATAAGCAGGACATCAATCAACAATGTAAACAGTGCTCTGGAAATCAAGCGTCTCAGTGCGTGAGAGCATTAAATCAGCCAGCAGAATAAAAATCACATGAATGATTCTGGTCAGCTTACAGTACAGGTTAAGGCAATAGTTCACATATTCTGAAATAGGGTTCTGTGAAAATTTTATAAACAAATATCTTACCTGCTGTAGATAACTCTAAAAAGCCTTAGTTTGGGCCTGACTTGGGAGAGAAAAGGCCACTCTAAGCAGGACCAAGACCAATGTGGATTGATGTCATTTTAAACTGAGTTAAATCTCAAAATTTCACAGCAATTCAGGTGAAAAACTGCAATTATATTGTTGAAATTGTGTTGTATTGTTTTTCTTCCCTTGACTCTACAAGTGCCTGTTGCTGCTTTCAGACCAGCACTGTGAATAAGAATTTGTTCTTAGTGTTTATGCCTGGTTAAATAAAGGTGAAATGAAAACTATTTCACAAACCATTACATTAGTAGAACTTCTACACAAACAGCAGCATGGTTAGCTTTAGCACTTCTGCTACTTCCAGCAAAAATAGCTAATTGTTTCAGCAGGACTAACTGTGTAATGTGAAACCAGTGGTGGCATAATGGTTTATAAATTAGCATTTGCTTAGCCCATTATGACATTTTTGACACTGTTGTGCAGCTGCTATATTTTGGTGCCTGTGAACTCAAATTTTTGTTATTAAAATGAATGCATTTTTGGAAATGTAACATTAATGATGTATTGCAAAAAAAAAATTACACTGCGGAGATGACCAGTTGTTGAAATGTTTGCAGGAAGTAACAGGAAGTAATGACAAAGAGAAACGCCTGCATGTGAACGGAGCATTGCTACAGTGGCTAATAACACAGACAGTAGCAAAGAATCTGATGTTCCTTCAGATTATTTTGAGTCACTATCTGAGAGATGAAGAGGCAGAGTTAAAAAAAAATATTGTTTCAATAAACAAAAACTAGTGAGTTCCCATTTTTCAAAAGTTCTCCTTTGATGTCACTTCCTTATTAACTTTGGCTGTGCCAAGTTCAAAAGAAAATAGGCCATTTAATGTGACAAAATGGGTCAAATCATGTGTATTGTGCCAAATTTCTTAAATATTAAGGTGTTTTCTTCCATTTTTTTGTATTTAAAGTTTATGCACGTCACAAAATTTTGTTTTACCTGCTATTAACTCAATGATCTAGCCATTTAACTCTGTTTTACCAAACTAAAGTTGTTCAGAGATATCTACAACACATATGATATGATAATTGTCCATAACTTCCCACAGAACCAAACTTGAAGTCTGAACTATTGCTTTAAGACCCTGTCCACACTACTCTAAATTATTAATAATAATAATAATAATAATAATAATAATAATAATAATAATACATGTCCCGTTGCATTCACGCAACTGAGTTTTTGGTACAAAATACTGGCACTAAAAAAACATTTTTAAAATATTCATTTTTGTATTTCTGGTGAGTCCATGTAGACAAGAAGTTTTTTTAAAGAGAAACTTGTAGCTGCCTGTTTTGCACATACCCTCCATCACTTTGTCCTGGAAACACGGACAATTCTAGATCTGATTTTACCGTTTTATCTGCTTTTATATACTTTTTTGTTTACCCTGATCCTATCACCGTCAGACTTTGACCGTGTGTTAAAATGGTTAATAACTGAGAGGAAACTGTAAAAAGTGTTGAGCGTGCATCAGGATGTAAAAAAGTGTTCACTCTGTATTTTGGTCGGCCTTCAATGTGAATTTGGCACCCCCTGGTGGCACAGCATGGGCATTACATTATTTTTGTTGGAATGTTTGGATGAAGAAAAATAAATCAACTAAAACCTATATTTGGAGGAGTGTGGACAGGGTCACCGACATGATTCCATTAACAAAGTTTCAACAAAAATCTGTACAGCATTATGAAATATCAATATGATATATTTTCTATGATTCACAACTTTGTAAACCTTCATTTGATGCAAAACAAGACAAGACAAATAATTAACTTTGGTGTCCTTTTGCTACCATCTCCAAAAAAAATTTTTTTCTGTATGTCAAACCAGTCCGTGACAACTTGCCATCCTCAGTCTTCACCAGTGGTCTTCATCATTGAGCAGCACTGTTCGGACCACTCTTGTAGAAAAAGAGTTACAGTGTATAGCAATTGTATTTATTTTTTATTATTATAAAGAGTCATATGAGGCCAAAAATATACTGTGTGAGATGGCACGGATAAGAAATGTTTGAGTATAATTGTAAACGAACATGGAGCTGGGCTGATTTTCGTAAAACGTAACTTTTAAGGACATTCACATAAACTTTCGTAAAACTAGTGTAACAAAGTGGAACGGCCAATTCTTGGCTCGGATTTGCTACGTCTTGGCCAAGTCTGTGAAAATTCTTAATCGGGTGAGAATGTGGAGAATGTGCAGCAAATTCCAGTCCTTCAAGTCTTACCCAGAGGGCAGACTTGTCCACTAATGATAGAAACAATGGTGTTTCGAGCAAGGCGCTGTCTGTGTTTCCCTTGAAAAAATCTGCAGAGCCGAGTTAAAGGGGGGAAAAAAGAGAAAATACGGCTCTCTGAGGGAATGTCCTCAATCTGTTGTTTTGTTTGTCCACTCCTCTTTGCTGCTCTCTCATTTGCTTCTCATGCTGTTGCGAGAGAATAAAAAAAAAATGCTCAAGGCAGTTTCACCACCACCACGCAGGCGCCTGCCCTTCCAATGTTAAGATGGACCTCCTACAGGAAGACAGAGAGGTTAACATGCAGCTTTGCATGGAAGACTCAGTTCAAAAAAACTCTCACTTCATTTGCAGATAAGAAGGTTAGACTGCCAAGATTGGGTGGGGAATTAATGCAAAAAAAGAAAATCCACTATAAAATATTGATAGGCTTTAGTAACTTCAACAGATTTATGTTCCTGTGGGATGCTAACTGGTGCTTTAATCTTACATGAAAGTATTTCTTGCAGAACAGCCACAAAACAGCTCCAAATATAAGAAGTTGCCGTCTCAGTGGTGGAATTTGTGCAATAAAGTATTTTATTCACATTGGGAGGACACCATAAGGCTCATAGCATGTAACTGTGCAGCAATACAAGGACATGGTTTTGGTTACCTCAGTCCACTCGTTGTTTTGTGCATCGTAGGACTCCACAGTGTTGAGATACGACTGTCCGTCATATCCGCCCACTGCGTACAGCCTGTCGCCCAACAGGCAAACCCCCACCGCATCCCGGGGAACGCTGAGAGAAGACACCGTGGTCCACGTGTCTGTCTTTGGATCATACCTGCAATCACAAAGCTTCATCAAACAAAACTGAATTTGTTCCACTTCCATCTAAACATCATACGGGATTTATTTTCTTGAAAACAAACTATGTGCACACAAACTATAGCATTTTGTGAATGCAGAGGGCTACATAACATAGAAACGTGCAGGAGAAGCTAAAACTGAGATGATAAACATACGAGACAGAAGCCAGTCTGGTGTGAACACATGATAAAAACAGAAGAAATAAAAACAGTAGCTAAAACCTAAATGAAGCAAAACTGTAGCAAAAATGAGTGGCATGCTACTTTAGCAAAACTGTAGTTAAAAGTAGTAAAACAAATGCAAAAACTAAAATCTGTGAAAACATGGACTAAAATTGGCAACAGTAGCTGAAAGGCAAAAGTAATAGATGGTAGCTAAATGCAATAAAGGGGTAGAACAGTGGCTAAAAGCTAAATGTAGCATGAGAAAAGAAAATCAAAGCAAGTAAGCTGAAGCAAAATGGAAAATAAATCACATTATAAATATTTATTTATATGTTTTTATTTTATTAATTTTTATAGTTTTATTTATTTTGTTTATTTATAGACTTAAATGTTTGTTTATAGATAAATATGTATAAATACACACCAGCAAACTTTATGCATACTTTTTGATTCAGTCTCTAATGGAGCAGTGAAAAAATCTAAAGAATCGGTCTAATTCTGGCATCAGCTTCGAATAAATAATGATCTAATAGGGCGCTAATTAACTGTGAAAATCCTGCTAACGCTTGATGAAAAATGTTTAAAAAGGGACAACTTGGTCATAATTAAATCTGGTAAAGATGAGGCACTCGATGATATTTCTCAAATCAAAATGTTAGAAGTGAAATGTATAAAGTCTCCTCTCCAAACACTATGGTCATCAGAAATGTGAGTTCAGATGCTCAAAGTCACCAATAAAATGAAAAACAAGCTTCAGTGCTGCAGTAACAAATTGTAGTTATCATATTTAATGTCTTGTTTTAAAAAAAAAGTTTTTTTTATTTTATTTTGAATATTTTAAAAATTCTACAGTCTTCTGGTGAAATTGGTTTTCTCTCTGATTCCCTGTCTTTGCTTACACAAGTCTTCTGAACATGCACAACAAATTTTGATAATTTCCGTTCAGTTGAGGATTTTTTTTTTTTATTTAACTTGGTCACATGCTTGTTGTTCCCAGTCAGAACGAGCAACCATTATAAAAGACTAGGGGAGACTGACTACAGCAGATGGACATTTTTCTTTTCCCACACCCTCAGGGGCTTTTCTTGTTGACTGGACACACACTTGCACACACATACTTTATGCATACATGACAACACCAGTCCCTAACAGGGACCCCCCCCCCCACCCACCCCCAAGAACCAAACCAGTTAACTCTCTCAGAATTATTATTGCCAGTCTGATAATTTAAGTTTTCAAAGCTTTGCTCCCAGTTTATTCTGTGGCAGCACAACAACTACTGATGTACTGTTAATGAGACTGTCATATCACATCCATCTTGTCTTGGATCACGAAAAGAAAAAACAGCAGAACTCTAAAGGAGAACGACTCAGGAACTGAAGTGTCCACAAGACAAAACATAAGAAGATCAGTGTGGAACAGTCCAGAGACGAGCAGGAAACTCTCGCTGACGTTGCATTTAGCCAAAAGAAACATATTACGATATTGTTTGGTACCACTTTACAATAAGGCTCCCCTTATATACCATACCATACCACTTTATTTATAGAGCACTTAAAACAGTGACAAGGCCAACCAAAGTGCTGTACAGACAGGACAACAGGTAACACACAAAGCAATATACAAAATGAGGTAAATCAGAATATAGACATAAAAACGATGCAGATAATGACGACAAACCAGTGTGGAGCATACAGGTTCAAAACACAGATCATCTTGTGTTGAATGCTACTGAATAGTAGTGAGTTTTTAAACGGGACTTGAAAACCGAGAGGGAGGGGGCCTGTCTGACAAGCAGAGGTAACTCATTCCAGAGTCTTGGTCCTGCTACAGAGAAGGCCCTGTCACCTCTGCGCTTAAGATGAGTTCCTGGAACTGTGAGGAGCAACTGGTCCGCTGACCTCAGGGAACGCGGTGGGACATACGGTTGTAGCAGATCAGCTATATAGATGGCTAATAAATAATGTATAGATACGTTAAAATAATTCCTCTATAAACACTTTATAAATCATTACTAACTGCTTATTATGCATTAATTAAGGGTGACAGAGAGACAAAACTGACCAGTTTACAAAGGTTTACAATGAAAGGTTTACAAATGCTTGTTGTGCTTACAAGGTAGTAACTTAGTCTGAAATATGTAATATACCAACTCTAGATGAAATATATAGGTGAACAGATTTGGATCTCTAATTGGCAAGAAAGTGGTCAGCTTTGTCTCTCTGTCACCCTTAATTAATGCATAATAAACAATTATTAATTATTTATAAAGTATTTATAGAGGAATTAATAACATTTCTATAAACTATTTATTAGCCATCTATAAGGGGAGCCTTACAGTAAAGTGGTACCATAATAATACCAGTCAGTTTTGATCAGGTACACAAAAATGTGTTTTTCTGAACTATTATCTTAAATTTGAAATGATTTTAAAACAAATGACTTTGTTGAACTTCATCACATGCTGTAATTATCTGCAATAAACAGTCCAACATGTTTCATCTATAATTTTGTTCTATAATCTGTTTTATTTGTTTGTTTGTTTGTTTGTTTACCTAAAAACCAAGTTGCATGAGATCAGGTGAGTGAGGCCTGCAGCCATAAAAACTAACAAGATCTAAATCTGTACTGTTCAACAACACAAGTTGATAAAAATGTTTATCTTAACATTGATGCATGTATTATCATGTTCTTTATAAAACTAATATGTTGAGGCAGCCATTTTTGACCAGGAACATAATAAACATAATGGGCAAAGATTGAACACGACTGGAGGGTTAGGTGCCTCAAAACCAAGTTAGGAAGACATTGTGGCCACTAGATGGAACCAGATGCTGCAAAACAAAATCACTGATTTCATGAGATCTCTAAATGCATGATGAGGACTGGAGTTCAGAATCTGTTCTTTCATCATGTTGTTAAAGCTAAAATCAACACTGAGTTCCAGAACGAGCAATTCAAGTCCAGTTTTGTTCATCAGGAGCCTGCACTGACCTCTCGACGCAGTCGGAGAGTCTGGAACAGTGGTTGGAAGCCGGAGCGTCATGTCCGCCTACAGCATACAAGAAGTTGTTGTACGTTGCCACGCCAACGCCTCCTCTCCTCTTGGACATGGGTGCACACATGCTCCACTTGTTGGTGTGCGGGTCGAAGCACTCCATGGACCTCAGGCACGAGCTGCCATCTCGCCCGCCGACTGCAAACAGCCTGAGGGAGAAAAAAAAAGTCCAAATGCTGACAAACAGTGACGGATGAGGGAAAAGGATGCTTGGGGAATATAAAGCTGGTGACAAAGTGATGGATTTATTATTATTATTATTGACATGTGGAGACTATATAGCAGTTTCCAAAAGGCCTTTCCATACAAGTATTTTTTTCTAGAAAGATCCCAATAATGCTCAGCTGCTTTTTATTTATAGACTTCAAATCAAGAAAGTGAAAGCAAAAAAACCCAGCTTTTCTTTGTGTTTTTGATCCAACTGGGGAAACAAATTCCCATTACTGAATATTAGATGTTGCTGAGCAGCTGCCTCTTCACCTTCGTCACGAGTGCAGTTTGAAATTGGCCTGAGAGCTGGTTGTCTCCTTAAACACATTGTGCTAAAATTCTTCTCACACATCCAGAGAAAAGAGGCGATTTGCTTTTATGGAGTTGAGATTACACCGTATGATTAGGCTGTCTTTGCTCTGAGCTGGTGACGATTACAGAGCCACATTAGACTTTATCTCAGACCACAAAGACTCCAGAAAATAAACTTGTCAAACTAATAGTGCTGCAATACTGTTTTTTATGTATAGGGCAGTTTATGTTACACAACTGTGCTGATAATTGGCATGCTCATTTTTTATCCTTTTCAGAAATAAGTCTTTTTGTGCTGCTTGAAATGTTCACCTTTTTTAATTGTGTTTGTGTCGTACGAGCAAACTGGCTTGGAAATCATCCCATCTTGTCCTAAAAACAGTAACTTCATTTGGTGTTTCTTGTAGGATTTGTGCTTCATAAGAAATAATTTCAGACAAGTTAAATAAAATCAGAACTAAAGAAACTGCATTTCCTGCAAAAATGCAGTGTGAATGCTTATTGCTGAAGTGCTTGATCAAAAACAGCTGAAATTAGCTAAAAACATGCTAAAATTGAAGAACAAGCCTAAGTTAGCAGAAGAAAGCAGAAAGAAGACATATTTGCCGAATTGTGTTTAAATAAGCAGAAATTAGCAAAAAATAATGGAAATTAACTTAAAAAAAAGCTGAAATTAGCAAAGAAATTGCTGAAAATAGCTGAAAAGGCAGAAAGAAGCATGATCTACCAGAAGAAAGTGGAAAGAGCTGAAATGAGCTAAAAAAATGTGGGATTAGAAGACAAAGCTAAAATTAGAATAAAAAAGCTGAATAGTAGCTGAAATAGCATACATGGCTGAAGCTAACATACTTAAGCTCAAAAGAGCATAACAAGCAGAAGAAAGCATAAAGAATACATGTTTGACCAATTAGGCTAAAAGAAGCAGAAATGAGCACATAAAAGGGGAAAAAAGCTGAAAAAAGCTGAAATTAGCATTAAAACAGCTGAAAAGTAGTTCAAAAAGAGAAAGAAGTTGAAATTATAAGGAAGTGGAGAAAGTACATTTGTGCTGAATTAGACTGAAAAAGGGTGAAATGAGTGCAACAAATGTGGAATTAGCTGAAAAGGCTTAAATTGGCATCAAAACAGCTAAATAGTAGCTGAAAAAGAAAATGCTGAAACTTGCAGGAATAAGTTGAAAGGAGCATGACAAGCTAAAATTAGCTGAAATATGTTATAAGCACAAAAATGTTGTAGTTAGCAGAACAAACCTGAAGGAAGCACAAAACAGATTTAAAAAAAACTGCTGAAAGTAGAGCATATTAAAGCATATTGCTGAAAGTAGCTAAAAATGTTTCAATTTGCACAAGGACCTAATGGCTGAATAACTGCTGAAACTTCTTAAAGAAGCTAAAAGTATTAGTTGAAAAAAAAAAGAACCATAAAATGTATTTAGGTTATTTAGGACCTAAGAACAGAGCATTTAATTGAATTTATCTCCTTTCTTTCTATTGAAATTAAACCATTATTTTAAGGAGAAAAAACAAGTGTTTAACTTTGACAAAACAAAAAGAAGATTTTAGTTGTTGCTTGTTAAAAACGTGGTTTTTGTGGCATGAACTAGAAGTCATTACTGCGTGGTTATTTTAACTATGGTTTGTCATTATTCTAGGCGCCAGTGCTTTTTTGTTTTTTACCAAATAAAATCACTTTAAGGCCTGCACTCTAACCATATTGTATTTTATGAATCAGTTGGAATTGCCTGTAATGTAAAGTATTTGCTCTCTCCTGCTTCTTCTGTCTTTATTATGTCTTTGACACAAATCATATTGTTAATGTTTGGGTTTCTCCAATGTTAGAAGGCTCTGGTAGCTTCAGTGGAGATGAGCAGAGGGAACGTACTTTCCATTGAGCGCTGTGACTCCCATGGTGCTCCGAGGAGTCGACATGCTGGCCACGTAGTTCCACTGTCTGGCCTGGGGGTCCCAGCGTTCCACCGTGTTCAGGTAGCTCCAGCCATCATGGCCCCCTACAGCATACATGGGACCCTCAAGCACAGCTATACCTGAAAAAAAAGACAGATCGATGTTTTGTTGTTTTAAACAAGTAAGGAAAAATGTTCATTTAAAGAGGAAATTGTCCCATTATAGAATTAAAAAAGAAACATTTGAGGAGAGTTTTCACATGTTGTTGTGTTGTGAGATTTTTATTGCCTGCCATTGAAGATAAAAACACAGATATGTTTGTGTTGAAGGCTGCGTGTGTTCGTTTGTCTGTACTGTTAGCAAAATATCTCATTAACCACTGGATGCACTTGTTAAAATTCTCAGAAAAAAATCATCGGTGTACATCTAGAACTGGCTAACCTTTGGGGTTATTCTCATCCAAGATGGTTGCCACATCAAATTGACAATAACAAACACAGAAATGACTGTAACTAGTTATTTTACAAATACTGAGCTAAACTTTTGTGTGGTAGTAGCTGAGAGTCATTCCCAGCTTGTACTCTGAGCAATAACACATCTCACACTATCACATGCATGCATAATGTTATTTATAAGCTTTG